TTTAAAAGTAGCAAATCAATTGATGTGGAACCTTAATGTGAGGCACACCTGGCAGCAACTTGTAGTGTGCTGCTGCAATTGGGTTGTAGAGCCTGCAATAGAATATAATTGCTAACTATAGGAGTGGCTTTGTTTTCGAATCATGTAGAAATAGTGTACAAGTATGCACTTATCCACATTAAATTTATTCTTTGAAAAGAAGCTGGGGAAACAAATAGAAATTTAACTCTCAGGGAACCAAGGAAAGATTAGAAAAGAATACAAAAAAGACAATTTAAATGTGTATTAATACATGTTAGTATGTAAAAATGAGGCCAATCTAGAATTAGAACACTCTTCTACTACTCAGCCTACACTTGTCACTGAATGGATATAATTATCCTTAATAGTGGTAGTATTGTAGGATGGGCAATAGCAACCTTTGCTCGGAAACATTATCTCAAATTATCCTAGGCAGCTGACAGCTAGAACACTGTAAACTATTGTTGGGCCATTATGACATTCATCTCTTCTGTTTTTCAAAATACTTAAGTTTTTTGTTTTTTTTACACTTTCACACACAACTGGTACAAATAGATTATAGAAAACTATGTATGTAGTTGCAATAGACACGGGCTTACAATGTATCATGAAGGGATAATATTGTATTAATGCAGTTAAAACTTCTACTTTGTAAATTAACTAGTTTAATATTTATTTTCATTTATTCCACCAAAATCTTAGTTATATTCATGTTAGTCAATTTATGACTTATCAACAAATTGATTTTATTTGTTTTCTTTTTGCTGTTCATGTTGTTTTTTGTTTTGTTGTGTTGTTTTGTGTGTGTGTGGGCGCGCACGTGCGTGCGTGTGTCTATGTGTGTATATAAAAATGATGGTATTGAAGGCCCAGCCAGCTTCAACCACCTGCATGCTTTCCCTTTTCTCCTATAATCCAATTTCTTCAGCTCTAGCCCCATTAACTCCCATTCTTCCCCCAGCCCTAACCTGAACTAACACATAACCTTCCCCATAGCCTTTTACAACCCATCAGGTTCCACTACCCTCAACCAGGGTCTAACCCCTAATCCAGAAACTTCCCCACCCTCTCTCCTTTACCCCTCTCTGCGATCTTATAAACGCTTTTTATGACCCAGTTCATAGAAAGTAGGTGAAAATAATAACAGTAACTAGGTTAGACAAAACATTCCATTAAAGTTAGAGCAGCAATCATCAAAGGGCAACATTAACAAGTTCTTGCCTTTTCATGAAATCAGAGTGACAGATCATCTTTTTTTTTTAAATTTAAAAGTCATTTATTACTGAAGTAGTTAAAACAAATAAACAGTTAAAATAAAAATGATAAAACAGTACTATTAAGAAACAACAAAAATTAGAAGAATTGTATTAACACAACCAGGTTGCTCTCTGAGTAGTCCTTGAATGATGAAAACCTGAATTCAGGAATGCCCCATTTTCTACTTGGTTTCAACATCTTCCTTATTCAATTCTACTCACTCAACTTTTCCCTTCATTCTGTTATGTTTCAGAAAAACTATTAAACTTTCAAATACTAGCTTATACAGATGATCACATTTTTACTATTCTACAACTATGTATTTATTTTTAAATGGATTTTCAAGCTCATCAATTATTGCAGTTGAAATCAAATTCTTTATTCCTGAGGATATATACTTTCTCAAAATAAAAAAAATCACAGTACTGAGCAAGTAGAACATATATATACCTAGTTGACCCCATTAATAATAAGATAACATGCGATGAACAGGGCCAAATTCTGTATAAAAAGACCTTTACATCTTTAGAAAACTGAACAATTTTGGTGAAAAGAAACAGCTTGTTCTACAGTGCAACAATTGGACGCCTACTAAACTTCATTATTACCTGCTGGTGTGGAAATTCTTTTTGGATGATACATCCCACACTCTTCATCAAAGATACCTAAGATCAGGGCAAATTCTTTCCTTTATACTTAATGTTAGGACCACAAGAAATAAAAATTCTTTTGTTCCCCAGTCTGGAAAAATTTGCCAGCGTGCTTTCCCAGGGATTATTAAATCTACATGAACACTAATTAATACATTATTGTCACTAAATGAGTTCATGGGGGGGGGAGGAGAATATGATGGCTGATTTCTAAGCTCGAGAAATACTTTAGATGTCTTGTGCTTAAATTGCTCTCATTGTAAAATGGTTTTGTGGTTATAATATCTATTTATTCATGTGCTGAAAATGAATATGTACATTGTAATTAAAAAAAAGCTTTCAATTTATTTGGATAAATAAAATAAACGTATCTTATTTACTGCCCTTGAATTTTTAGTTGTAGTCTACAAGTTAACTACATGTTTTTCTTTAAAGGTATTGAATATCGATGAGAATCAGTAGGTTTAAATTTGTATGTGTTCCATCAGTATAAGCCAATTAAAGAGTTAGTATTGCCCTAAAAGAGGATCTGTTTTTCATCCTTCACACATTGAGATGACCAAGGCTATATTTGACTGTCAGTAGACACCTTGGGGTAATAGCCTTGACATGCACTTTATTTTGATTAAAGTGAGGAATGGTTGAGCATTTCATCTACCTCTGACTCTCATCCTAGCCTATTTTTATTCAGTGGCAAGACTTAGTCGTGATGACTGGAAATCGACCAGGATGCTGTGGGTGAGTAGCAGTGCTTCTCATATCTCGGTGTGTACCTGCTTTTCCACCCACTGGATAATTAAGAATCTCATCTGTGTGGTCCATCAGGTCCAGTCTTCACATTGAAGGCAGGCACATGACATCATGTCAACTAATCTGGTTGCAAACAGAGCATTATGTCACCAAATCAGGTTGCCACCATAGTATTGTCAACTAACCTGGTTGTCACCAGAACATTGTGCCATCTAATCAGTTTACCACCAGAGTAGAAGATCTTAAGAGTCAAAATAGATATACATTAATGCTAATAAATACTAACTACATCAAGAAGCTATAAAACACTCCCTAAATAAGACTAGAAGCTACTAATCTAAATACTAACTCTATCTTGAGACTGACACTCAACTTCTTCGAAGAGAAATTCTCGTTGGAAAAGTAACTTAACTGCTTATCTAAGTAGCAGCTTAATTTTTTACATTGACATACAAGTGACAGAAAAAAGTTGTACGGAGTGCGCTCTTTTGAAGCAATAGCGCCAAAATTATGGAACAGTTTGCCTCAATCTTTGAGCCGAATTGTAAATGATAAAAAATCATTTAAGAAACAATTAAAAACTTTTTTGTTTTAAATAGATTTCGGAGGACCAAAACGCAGTGAGCATGCTAAAATGGCATGGATACCGGCACGACATAAATATCAAATCAATCAATCAAATACTTTCAAGTTAATACTAGTTAAAATTATTTCTTCTAGTTCAACTCCTAGAATAGGCCAACAAAGTAAGACTATTATTGAAGTAGTGCTTAAAGAAGGGTGCTATTGTATTTAGCCAAGTTAATTAAAGGCCATTAATCTAGTGAACTGGCGACATGATAGAAATGAATATTAAAAACAAAATATTGTTACTTTAGTTAAATGAAACTGTATAATAACGTGATTAGGCTTAACCACTTCATTACCTATGACCTATGACGTATACGTCATAATCACCCACTTTCAATTACCAAGGACGTCACATCGACGTCATAACAAAAATTTTAGTACTTTTCTATAGAGAAGTTAAAAAGCGAATCGGATAGAGAATGAAATATACCGAAAATTTCATCTTTTAAGTTTTTTGTTGCTGAGTCAGCCAAAATCGATGCCAAAACCCTGTGGTAATGAAGTGGTTAACGATGATAAAATAAGTTCATGCCAAACATTGATTGTTTAGGAACATGGTCACATCAACCAACACCACCCTGCTTTGATTTTCTGTTGTTGGGAGAAATGTCTGAGTGTTATTTACATTAATGAGCACTCGTTAACTCGATAAGGCATCGATATTTTTTATGTACAATTAAACAATAAATGGGGTATATTGTGCAACCATAACATAACACAAATTAATCGATTTAATCATAATTTAATGTCTAGGAATATGATTATGATTAAGAAGTAGTTAAGTCATTGGGTGAATAAGTGTAATTGTAATAAAACTGTCAGACTAAGTAAGACTTTTGAGTAAGCAGAACTTCAAGAAAAGTAATTAATTCCAAGACGATTCGTCTCCGACTCCAGTCCACTAAGGTGAGAGTCAGTGCCAAACTGCTCAAACTCTAACTCTTCTAATAGTTCTGAACTCCAACCCCAGCAGCAGCAGAGGGTAGTCTGGAGTAGGAGTGGTATCAACAAGAGTTCCAACAATAACAAAATTTTGAAAGATTTGGTAATTTTAAGATAAAAACAAATAGATCTTTGTTTCTTACCTTTATTAGTGGTACCATGGACAGAATCCAAAATTATTATTACAAGAAAATAACAAAATATATTCTGCTCCGCCATGACAGTCTACATTTTCCGGTTTAACTTTTACTTTTCTTTTGTTGACCCCTCTCCTACAACCCCCCACCCCCACACACCATACAAATACGCACACGCACATAAATATATACACACACACACACACACGGATAGACAGATAAATAATTTGAAAATCCGCCCTTTTAAAAAAAAAACAACACATTACATTAAATAATAAGGACTAGGTCGAACACATAAGTGATATAAAATATAGCCTACATTTTAAATGGCTCTTCTTTACACTACACGACCACATAACTATTCTCTTTTTATAATACGATTTTCATACTAACTTATTTTATATTTATAATTTATACTAATAGTATAATTAATTATTGCTAAATCGGTGCGCAAATCTAAAAATAAATGCGGTTTCATATACTGAAATGTAAATAAAATATTTTTGATAATTTGTCAAAATACATTAATTAATTCACGAATACTCAATTAAACAGATTTTATTTTTTTACATTTTTAACCCAAATAGTAATAGACTAACCAATTCAATATACTTTTTCTATTTTCACGATTAAAAATGTTCCAATCAAAATCCGTTTCCGACTAAAACCATCCAATGAAATGTCGTAAATTTCAACAGCGGCAATAAAAGTATTTTTTAATTAATACTCTTCAATTACGTAGTCTTAACTTAAACAATATATGTAATTTTGATACTTTAGGCCCTACTGTGCTACATTACTTTTAGGCCCAATACGTAAGTATTTAAAAATTATTATAGTATAGTTATGGACTTATAGACCCTTATATTATATAGCCTACGCCTACATTACATTACATGAATTATTGATAGTGATAGTAATATAAATATAATATAGTCTAGTCTATTATATAAATATTATGTAGTATAGTCTATAGTATAGTATAGTATAGTAATACTAATACTATACTATAGATATTAATACTAATACTATACTATAGACTATAGAGTCTATATATTACATAAATATGTATAGTAATACTATAGAGTATATAGTAATAATTCTGCACTTATGGAACTTATGGCCAAGTTAAAGTTAAAGTACTATTAACTTAACTAAATAACAGTTCAGTAATTCAGTAGTAACTAACAAAGTTACTTGTTTCTTAGTTAACTTAATTACTTAGATTAGTTAGATTAGTTAGTGATTAGACTTACTTTAACACTTTTAACTTTAGTTTTACACTAGACTACTAGACTAGAGTTACTATTACTAGCTCACTGTTTTACAAAGGTCACTCTTAGAATGTCTAGTGACTAGTGAACTCTAGTGCTAGAGCCGTATTTCTCCACTTTCCCTTTATATTAATTATTAATGAATGAATGGCTTTACTTTATTACTCACTTAAATGATAAATCCATTATTAATTAATATAATATAGATACAGCATTAATATTATGATTTATAATATTAATACTTATAATTATTAGAATTAGAAAAGATATGCCTAGTCATAGTCATAGTCGACATAGTTTCTAAGTCTAAGGTTTTTTGGTTCGTGTGCAAAATCATAAAGTTGTGTGCAAATTTTTACAGCATCAATTTTTTGTGCGCAAAATTTTGCAGCCTACAGACACAAACTCAAACATACACTAAAGTGGAAATTAGCTGCGCGGTACTCAAAACTGCTGCGCGACGTCTATGAGATTACTGCCGCGCAGCTTAAAGGGAACATTGATTATATTATATTTTTTTAATCACATTGCCATTAGGTGATTAGCCTAAGCAGACTAAGTCTAAATACTAAATCTAATAAAAGAGACTGTTGCAACTCTAAGTTTCAAACTTTACAGCTTAGTCACCAAACTTTAAATTAAGCCTACTCACTACTCAGATTACTCTAACTTGGTAGTGATGAGAATTGTTACTAAATTTTAATAAGTGTAACTCTGTAGTCAAAGACTAAGTAATATTTAGTAATAATCAGGTATAAGATTAAGTGTTTTCTTCTAACTATGGAAAGTAATTTACTTATTAGCTTGGGCTTGGCTTTGACTTTGAGCCCATCCATTATATAAATTAAAGATATGTAAAATAGGTTTATCGGACAGTATCCGAGTATGATGATAATTATGAAACATTGTCACTATGGGTATATTTTTATAGCTTTGACTTTAAAAATAATTAGAGATTATGGTTTTCACCTATTTCTAGGTGAAAGTTAGTTAGCTGTTTTAGAGATATAAATATTATATTATGGATTGTCTGAATTTTGGTTAATTATTTCAGAATTTGTGCACAAATAATGAACATACACATTCAAGTTGCTGAAAATCCTACCTTCCCCATTATGCATCAGTTTGCAAAGCTTTTAAATTTAAGTCAACCATAATTTAAAGTTAGGGGCCATCCATAAATGATGTCCCACTATCATCCAGCAGATTTTTTTTGCCCCCCTCCCCCTTTTACCCCCATCATCACAAAAAATAAACACCAGTATCAGAAAGTTATGGCATACTTTCTAACTATAGAAAGGAATTTACTACTTTAGCTTGGGCTTGGCTTTGGGTCTATGCCAACAGACTCTAGGTCGAACTAGAGAGTCTAGAGCCCATCTATATAACTTCGTGACCCCTAAAGAAGATTGATATTTCTTATTGTTGGCCCCTTAATATACTTTTTAAAAATTAATGTTAAAAAGATTTAGCAGAAATACTTAAATAATAATTTTTTTAAAAACAATGTAAAATTATTACAACAAATATACCAGGTAGTGATATACAGACCTAAAGAATGTTTTATAATTTATAATTATTATTAAACTTTATGACTTTAAATCATTTTTGCATTATTAAATTATGATAATTTCATCTTTATCAGTCTTCAAGGCCAATCTTTTCAGAAGTAAAAAAAAAAAATTTAAAATGGTCACAGCAGATGCTATAGCTGCAATGAAATCGATGGCACTGGATCCTAGGAAACGAGCAGCACTTGCAAAAGTATGATTATTTTTTAATCCAACACACAATATTAAATTAGTTTTTTTTTTTTTTTTTTTTTTTTTTAAATGGAAAAGCCGAAAACAAAAATTATTATAGATATCGTTTAACCACTGTCCTTGTATCCAAAGTTCAGCTATTATTTAGTGTGATTTTCTTTGTGTGCAAGTGCAAGGCTGTTTGTGATTGAATAAAAATTGTAACTATTCTAATCATACAGGATGCAACATGTATCGGTGGTCTAGTCATTGTGTTGTCAAATGCTGATACAACCATTGTGAAGGAGGCATTGCAGGTAAAAGTAATAAGTAAATGGACATTTCACTTAATAATCCTTGTTAATGTTATCCTCTACAAATTGATTTACAAAGATTTTTAAACATTATTACTTATGTTACATAATTAGCTGCTTACTGTGTAAAAATGACACCAAACATGGAAAACTTATTAAATTCAAGTCAAATAAATTTCATACTCTTTGCCATCATTTTTGTTGAATGCAGAAAATAATAAAGTATACTATTCTTAATACTTTTGTTATGTATCATCAAACAAATAAACAGACCTTTATGTACAATAATGTTATGGGTGCTCTGCTTGTTAGGAGTTCTGATTTTTAAAAATGCAGTGTATTAACATTATTAATCAATATTTTAGATCACAAGTTACACATCAAATCTTCATATCTTTTATTAATTTTGTTTGTTTGCAGACATTGCTGTTATTGTCAGAATGCCAAGAGGCCTGCACTTTCCTTAAGAATCATGTTGGTATGTTGGATCAACTGGAGACTATATTAAATGGGTGTGTTTTAATGTGTTTCTTTTTTTTTTTTTTTTTTTTTTTTTTTTTTTTTTTTTTTTTTTTATTCTTGGTTAGGCTCTAAAAATGTTACTTAAATATAAATCTAATCAAATGTTGTCAATGAAATAACATAATATCTATTTGTCTGGAAATAATGCTATGAGAGACAAACTTTAGAATAGTGTACATTTTCTGAAAATGAAGTTGAGTCCCTTTTAAAATGCTTAATGCTACATTTCACCCTAGAAAGGTGTACTCTAGTTTGTGAAGAACTGTGAATTTTTAATTGCTGAAATTTAAATATTCCATTTATGAAACAGGCATCATTTTCGACATGTACCAGAAATAGTCCTAATATTAAATAATCTTTGTTGCAATTTATTTTAAGTTGATAATAAAGTATCCATTAATTTTGTAATCAAGCAGAGAATCTAAAAGGAGCAAAAGTGACATAATTTTTGGCTTGTGTTTATTTATTTTATCAAAATAAGTCAATATAAATCCATATAAATTTTCAGTATTGCTCTATTTCAGTTGTGAGAAAGATGAAACTGTTATGCGCCTTGCTGAATTGCTGCATACTAAACTTAGCGAGACATCAGATACTTCTTCAAATGCATCCATGCCATTAAAGGATCTTAGTAATGTTTCCCGGTAGTTGTTTAATTATGGCTTGTATTTAAGCATTTTAAAGTTTTGACTTAAGAGCTATTTTAAAATTTAAGTCTCAAAATGTTTTTATTAATTTTTTAAAAATTATTTGTATATGCATTCGTTTATTTTCTATTTTAATAGTCACATTAGGTTGACATCTTATATTTTGAAAATCAGTTTTACTGCAACATGTTGCATTATGTAAAAACAAAATTTTTTTACACTTACTAACTACGAGACACAGAATTTTCAGCATAATATATTAAGACAAAAAGTTTTTTCATACAGTTAGAGACTTTTCATGGATAACCCCCAAGAATTCCAATATTCAGATTTTGTAGATAGCAATAGCATAAAATAAGCTTGACAATAACATGTGCTCTCCCCTCAAACTTTAACAGTCAAAGTACTCATGTGAAGAATCTTAGTGCCCAAGGTCATTCTAAAGCCAAATCAATAGTTCTACAGATAAAAGGTTTTCATGAAAAGGTAATTTGTGATACAGTGATAATTTTCTGCTATTCCGAGACTCTTGCCAAACTTTTATTAAATTTAAACTTTTTTGATGTTTCTACTCATGTAAATTCCCTTCTGTTGTCTGCACCTATTGGATCTCAGCTTTGGTGGAAAATGTTATGTTTATTATTGGTTTTCTTTTCTAGCTAATACTTTTTCTTGAGAAATTTATAATCTAACAATTGCTAAAGCATTCAACTATAATTAATAATGATGTTGATACTCAGCATTAAAAAATATTTTACTAATCATCAGAGTGACAGAGACTTGTGTGCCAGATTATTGCTAAAAGTCAAAGGTGTCATCAGCATTACTTTTGATATTACAAAAAAGCGCTGCATTTTACGAACAAAAATGGATGTGAAACCAGAGGTAAATTATTTGATTTAAGTTATTTAATAAATTCAGGGATTTACATTACAACTTTAATTTCCTGTAATGATAGATTTTGATAAATAAAAAAAATCATAAAGCACAATGCACTTATTTTATAAATAAAATTTTCCATAAATCACAGTAAGAATTACACTGTTCATTTGATCCACATTATTTCAGCCTTATCATCTTTAAAATGAACCTACATATGTAAACAAAAATTGATTAATTCATTTCCAGTATACTATTAGATTTACCCAATTACGTGTTTTATCTGTTAAACTAAAATGCTACATTTGCAACTACAGACTCTAATACTAGCCATTGCCAAATCCATGACTATGACCGCACAGCAAGTTGTACGAAATGAGAAGGGAGAAGAGGTAAGTTATTTTGTGGATCATTTAACACAAATACAAATAAACTTCCATTGCATGTTTAATGTTTGATTGATGTTTTTTATAAGTATGCTGTACCAATGACATACTATGATTTAACTGCTTAAAGGTTATTTTTTTTATATATAAAATATTCTGCCCGCTGTAATTTTTTAAATTAAAAATACTGTACTAAATACAGTATTAGTAGTATTATCATCAGAAAAGACAATTATTAATAAAATAGAAACTATTGGCTCTTCTTTAGCGTTATTGTGCTCTTCCTTTATTTTCAGTCATTTGTGTGTTTTGATACAATACAGCATCATGTATCACAAGATAAAGAAAATGAAGATCTGCCAGATTACTTATCTGATGATTCAGATTCCACATTTGTTGAAGAAAAGGCTATCAAACGCCCTACTGAAGAAGACAAGAAAAAATCATCAGGGTGGTTTTCAATGGCTGCAAACTTTTTATCCAATTCTCTTTACTGGTAATCAAAAAAAAATCCTGATATCTTGAGATTTAAATATGTATAATGCATTTGTGAACAAAAAATCTAAAATTTAGTTATTCAAATGCTAACAAGAGAGCTGTCTTTGAAGGCTTTTAAATTTGTTAATTGTTACAGATTTTTCAGTACTATAAATTATAAATAACAGATGTGTCACCAAAGTTTGCAAGTAAATACAGAAATAAAGATAGCCCCTTAAATAATAATTTGCTTGTACACTTGTCTTCACTGTGAAACTAGCTATATTTTAAAATATTCTTAAATGGTGTTCCACAAAATTTTAGGTATGAGCTATTGTTTATTGTCTTGTATGATAAAACTTGGAAACTGCTGCTTTATAAAATATTACATTTGAAAGTGAAATTTATTTAAATGCTGTAATAATGTAAATTGTAAAAAAAAAACATCTTTTCTCACCTACTGTTTAGGATGGGGTAAAAACTAGTTCAAAGTGTTGCATTTTTAGTTCTCCAACTTTGCAAAGGTCAAATAAGATGTTTTGCCTTTTAAGTTCAGTTCTCTTTTTTTTACTTCCCATCTTTCTCATTATGCAGGCTTTGTAAAAGTAAAGGTTCTCTATGTAAGCTTGCCATCATACAAAAATATTAAAATAACTTCAATATTTTGGAACTTAAAAAATTGATAAAACTAACTACCCGGTTAAGGTATCTTCGAAATTACAGTTAGGTGTTTAGGTAAAATTTTGTTTGAAACTTAGCCCTTTTGTCTAAATTAAAAATGTATTTTGGATCTTTTTCACATGAATTTCTTAAAGTTTGTGATAACGATAAATCCGGTAATGGTTGTGTTTTGAAATATTTCCTGTGTGTAGTAATTATGACCTACTTGTTTAAAAGAATAAAAATGCTGTACCGTCTTATCTATAACTAAACACTCTTTACAGCAGGCAGGTGCAAGACTTGATATACAGGATTACTATTTTCCACAAGTATGCTGTCATTCAGCTAGCTCAGTGGTTCTCAAACATTTTTTTTTTATTTCTTTCGTGTCTGTCTCTTTACAATTATTTAGATTGCTTTAGATTTATTTAAATTAACTATAATTAACATATATGCCACAGTGCAAAACATTATTTACAAACAATTCTTTATTCATAAAATGACATTTCTTAGTCATCAAATGTACATTCTATGGGCTGAGTACATCTACTTTGCCTGAAACAGCTCTTCTAGGTTTGGCATTTTTGGCCTGTGTAACTCTGTCATTTGTCACATCTAATCTGTTACAGGATTTTGTTGTGATATCAAGTAGTGTGGAAAAAGTCTCATATATACACTTTTAGAGCCATATTTGCAACATGGGGATAGGACTATGCCATTTCAATTTCAATCCAAAAATCACTACAACTTTCACGTTTTGCACCCCACCACATTACCATATTAATTAATTGTTTTTGTCCTTCAAAGGCAGATCACTAACTGGGAGCATTAGATTGTATTTTTTTAATTCTTGTATGTCAGGAGAATAATGAGAAATTTCTTCACTAAGAATTGAAATGTGTAGCTTCATCACTTCACGGATATCAACAGCGTGAAACTCAGTTTAATGAATATATGTTTTGAGCTGTGGAAATGGGGCAGTTTTCTACTTCTCTAACTTTGCATGCCATAGTTCGAGCTTCATTTTGAAAGCTGTCAATTTTTCATGACATTGGAGCACTGAGATCTCTTTTCCTGGCAGCCCCAGGTTACTAGAATTTATGGATAAATATGTCGACCAAAAAAGACAGGGTTATAAAAAAAGACAGACATCAGATAAATTTGTGTTCATGTCTGGTTTAGCGTGTTGCAAAAATTGCTGCATTATTTATATTTATTAATTCACGTAGTATGAAAACTCTCTTCAAAACTTTCCCTTTGGAAAGCCACCTCATGTAAGAGTGCAACAAGAGTATTCACTTTAATTAAGTTCACTGCTATAAGCACATCATTGAGAACATTTTACAATTCATCAGGTATGGTTTTTAACTTTAAGGCATAGTGATGCATTTTGCAGTGTGCATCAATGTTTTAGGGATTTTTGCTTAAATTAAAGTTAGAAAACCAGATTGTCAACCAAGCAAAGCTGGATCACAGTCCGTACACTCGCCAATGGCATGTTCCCATTTGATACCATGCGCCTCAAAGAATTTGTCTATTTTGTCAAATATTACCTTGGGCTAAGTTGGCGACATCTGTCATTTCATCAGGCTGGATCGCAAAGAAGTTATAAATTAAATTCTGAATTTTTTTAGGGTCCAGTTATCACTTTGTCTTCCTGTTTTATTACCGGTACCTGTATTTAATTTCAGTGATAAATTCAGAACAATTTATGAGATAATTAGTACTAGTACCGGTACTTGTTCAAATGTTCCATATCTATAAATAAACATTTTACTATCATATTAATGATATCAATTGTAATTGAGTTTTTTTCGCGGAGGGTGAAAAAAACTTTTAATTAGCTAAGTTTAAGGGGCTCTGATAAATATATATTTATTAGGATTCCTGAGATAGTAAGGCACATTAAAAGGTAATAATGAAAGTAGGTTAAGGGGGTTGCATGTCCTCACCATTCTCCCTACTTTTCCATGTGATTATACACTGCCTTGTGTTAGTTTGGGTAGGTCGTGGCCAAGAGAAATAAAATTACAATAATGGATGACAGTTCCATGTCATGCCTCTCAACCAGCAGGGTAACAGAATTAGCATTACAGCTGGATAAGTTGACCTTGCCAGGTAATATATTTATTTCTTGCTTGAACTTAACATCTTGTGAAAAAATGAAAGAGTTGTTACAGCAAGAGAGCTAGAAACAGATTCTAAAGGAATATCATGTTACCAAGTATTTCTTCAATAAGGAAAGTCCACTTAAAAATATTAGTAACATACTTCATATTACAACTGATGGATCACAATTATATACTCAACTTTGCCATTTTTTTCTTGCCTATTAAAAACATATACGAAATGACTTTACTTTTCATTGGTTACTCATCACCAATATCAGAGCACAAGTTATTATTTAGCATATCCATTGCTGCAGTAATTAATGCTCCCAGTGATAGACTATTCCAGAAGCACTGCATTGGGAATGATAAACATTTTCTGTTAGCTGCTGAATATTGAATTTTGTGGCCTATTAAAAACTTTAAAAGGCATCAGATATGAAATGCTTATTTATTAAATTAATTTACAGTTTTGATAAATGACATCAATCTAATTATATTTAATTAAAACCTAATCGACTATGTATCCATCCATTGTATCAAATTTATATGTCACAAAATGCTTCCAATAGTTGTAATATACAAAACTTTCATGCTCAAATCAATCTATTTTGATTCTTTCAATATAAATTACACATTTTCTAGTTACATATTCATGTAGGATACACAGGCAGTTGGTGTAAATGAGTAAGATCAAATAATAAGTAAAAATTATGTTAAGCTCAATCTACAATTTTGGTACTCTTACAGTTGAGTTTTGCAAGCAGAAGGAAATTTCGTAGCTATTTCATAGCTTTTTCATAATCTCTGGAAATTGGTATACTTGGTATAGAAGTAATAGAAGTTGTACAGAATTTGACTACAGAGGTTTGAAAGTGGTTAATTATAAGTGAGTTCTGATGAATGAATTTAAACCACAAAATATTTAAAAAATTATAATTTCATTATTTAGATAAATTTAGCAATGTAAAAGTAAGTTTGTTTTATTACCAAGTTAAACATCTAAATCTCAGTAATTATCTTACTTTTAAAAAAATCCGTGGTTCCCAAGGTGTTCACCATAGAACACTCGGTAGTCATGGCTTCCACAAAGGGGTGCAGCAAAGTAAAAAAAAAAGTTCATTTCCAGTTACTCTTTTACATGTTATTGATAATAAAAAATTGTTTTTTAGCTTTTAATTTTTAAATAAATTTAACTAATTTTGAATATTATTTTTAAAAAAAGACAATTTGATTTAATTAGTTTTAGAATGTTATATATTTATATGCATGGACTGTGCTGCTTTTTTTGTCGTTCCACACCCCTCTTGGTTGCAATGCATATTCCCCTCACCCCCAAGATAAAAAAAATATGCTAATAAACCTGATTTTCTAGGTCTACCATCTAGCACTCCTGCTCTTGTGTAATGGGGGAGGGGGGCAATCCATGAATGGTGCTACACATCTAGTGGGGGGGGGGGCGCATTTGGGACACCCCATTATGGGGAGCTATACATTTTTAGACAATGGGTATCCATGAATGGTGCTACACATCTAGTGGGGGGGGGGGGCGCATTTGTGACACCCCATTATGAGGAACTCTACATTTTTTGACAATGGGAGACTTCATTTATGGATGGCCTCTTAACAAAACAAAAGTAATGAATAAAAGACAACTCTAAATAAGATTGTTTATTGTATCAAATATTTGTTTAGGAAAACCAGACTGTTTAGAACATTCTAGAAACAGTGACCCATGTCAAAACTGATAATAATGGAACACAATTTGGAAAGTTTCTTTGGTGATTCAACAGCATATGAAAAATGAACTAAAAATTAATTATTTAATCTCCATAAACAATTTTGATAAAATCTGGCTGTGAAGTATTTGAACATTTTCCCTATCCCCACAGTTCTTGAAAGCAGAACAGAGTATACAGATGGAAATTAAATACAATAGTAAATATTGGTTATATTGTATGTTATACAAAGAAAGACTTGTAAGGATAATTGAATATTTAAAAACAAAGCATGTTTTTAAACGTAAAAAAAATGATCTAAGTAAGTGAAATTAGATCTGAACTTGGTCATCTGGCAAATTTTAACATAAGACGTTTGAATATTCTTATATAAAATGTGTTAAGAATGTATGTCATATGAAAGAAATACAAGAATTTGGTTTAACAAAACTGTTCCCTCTGGGTTTCATGGAATGTTGATATATTTATGGCAACAGAAGAAAACATCCCAGGTAGGACATCAAAGTAAATGATAATATAAAGATTAGCCCTATCCCTTACACTACTGCCATTCAAAGACAACGTTGACATAATCCCTGTCTATTTAGGAAATAGGACAATAATATTTGGTACAAAAGCAAGTATTTAATTTTAAAACTAGAAAGAAACATTTTTTCAAGTACCATAGTTTTTAAAGAAAGTAATGTGCTTTGAGTTTCCCATGGAGACCAGATTATGTGATAAATAGTTATCAAGTGTCCCTCTTTGAAGCAGTTTCTTTTCTTGAATCCGGAAGAACTGAAGCAGGTATAAGGCTGTAATGTCCAGAGAAATATTTTGAGGGTAATCTGAAATATTACTGAGCTTCATCTTCACATTTACCATATTTAAGAATTCTTGTAAATTCAAGGTAATTGAACTCTCCCTTTTTATTTATTGGGGCATCTCTATACATATCATCCACCTGAAGAAAAAAAAGATTGAATAGTTCTCATAGCTATAATTTCAAATAAGGCTTAAAGGACAAGTTTTACCTGAAACATGGCAGTATATGGGTCAGGGATTTTCTGAAACAGGAAACTATTTGTTGGGAAGCCTGGTTGCTAATTACTATTGTTTTAAAGATGTTAAATAAATGAAAAATAAAAATCATGTGCCTGCTTCTAAATATAGCTCAAAATGTCTGATACTTATGTAAATGAGGCCAAATATTTAATATCTGAAATTTGCAGTTAGCATCCATTAGCCTTTACATAGCTTTTTATATACACCTACATGTGTGGCTCAAGAGTCTGACCTTGATGTGGCAGTCCTTGCTGAACTTTCTGCATGCAAACCTCAAAGATTTTTGTTCTTTATTCTTCCTGCTTACTCTTCTTTCAGCAGGGCTTATATTTTGCAAATCTCTCTTAATGAAAAGTAAGGCGCCAGTCTTTACTTCAGTTGTTTGTGATGGAGCTCACCACTTTCAAATCTTTGTTGCACACAATCTTGAAGCAGAGAGGCTGCTGTCCAGTGATTCAAGAATCCTTTGTCAGTTTGTTGTAAAGTCCATCTTCTTGACATGGCTGAGCCAACGAGGGCAAATCTCAC